GTTTTGTCATCATCAAAAAGGGGAAGAATTTTGATCTTGATCCCTATCTTTTGATGTTTACAAAACAAATGGATGATACTAATATTTCTTCAAGATACACTTTCAGTTTTGAAATTATTTGATTCCATGAACAAGTGCAATTGAAAGAAGACAAAGGTTATTGAAAGCTGTCGGACGCTCAAAAAGACTGCATCGGACGTCCGACAACCATTGAGTATCTTCAGACGCAGAAAACCAGCCTACCGGGCGTCCTAAGGAATTGAAGAAAAATTTCCAGTTTTACATCATACCTTCGGACGCAGAAAATCAGCCTACCGGACGTCCGAAAGAATTGAAGAAAATCTCTTAAACTCTCTGCCTGCTGTCGGACGCACAAAACAGGGCTATCGGACGTCCAACACTGCCAACGGATAGTTGACTGTTCAGCTACTTTCTATCCATTGGAAGCATTAATGAGACACTTTCTTGGTCCTATATAAATAGTGGTTGGTCAGATATTTCAAACAACTTTGGCACACTGAAGATACAAAAGATCTAGAGAGATTTTAGTGAGAAAATACTCTTCAAAGAAGATTTGTAGTCTTAGTGGTGTGAGATTCTTTGTAAGCTTTTCATTTGTGAGTGAATATTTTATGAGTGTAGCTCTGTGAGGGTTGTCCTGAGAGATAGTAAAACATCCTGACTTGACCGAGTGGAGTTCGGGGTAAGGAGGAGGTGAACCTTCCTTTGTACACAAGAGTGATTGTAATTCATCAACTTGAAGTAGCTTGTTTCAATTAATCTACAAGTTCAAGAGGAGTTGAGTAGTTAATTGGTTTGCAATCCTTTCTTTTTTATTTATTTACTGTTGCATTTGTAATCTTTGCATTGTTTTTGTATTTCACTTGGTTGTCTTCGATCCTTACACTGTGGAGTACATCGTACTTGCGAAACAGCACGACTATGGTTTTGTTGCAGAAGTGCATCCCCCTGTCACTAACAATGACTCTTGGCATTCCAAAACACACAAAAATATTAGACCTGATAAAATCTGCAACTACTTTCGAATCATTAGTCCGAGTGGCCTTAGCCTCCGCCCATTTAGACATATAATCGACTGCCAATAAAATATATATATAACCAAATGAAGTAGGAAAAGACCTCATAAAATCTATACCCCAAACATCAAAAATTTCAACAAAAATAAACGAGATTTGGGGCATATGATCTCTACGGGTTATATTACCTACCCGTTGACATCGATCACAGGACTTACAAAACACATAAGTATCTTTAAACAAAGAAAGCCAATAAAATTCACTTTCTAATACCTTATGAGCAGTTCTCTTGGGTCCAAAATGACCTCCACAGGTAAAAGTATGGCAAAAGGTTAAAATTGATTGAAATTCAAATTCACTTACGCATCGCCTCATTACTTGGTCAGCACATCTCTTCCACAAGTATGAGTCATCTCAAATGAAATACTTGGTGTCGCTCTTCAATTTGTTTTTCTTCGATTTTGGCCAACCTGCAGGAAAATTACCAGTTACCAAGTAGTTAACTAGATCAGCATACCAAGACAATTGAGAATTAAGAGAAAATAAGTGTTCTTCAGGGAATGGATCCTTCAATGGCTCGCTCTCCCTTCCAACCGATATGCGACTCAAATGGTCGGCGACTAGATTCTCTAAACCTCTTTTCTCCCTTATTTCCAGGTCAAATTTCTGTAGGAGCAATATCCACCTTATGAGCCTCGATTTTGCATCTTTCTTGACCATCAGGTACCTTAGCGCTGCATGATCAGAAAATACAATAACTTTAGCACCTAACAAATGATCTAAACTTCTTTAAGGCAAAAATAACTGCAAGAAGCTCCTTCTCAGTAGTGGAGTAGTTTAATTGAACTCCATTCGACGCCCGAGATACGTAGTAGATGACGTGAATTGCCTTTCTTACTCTTTGCCCCAACACAGCTCCCACTGCATGGTCACTGGTGTCGCACATGATCTCAAATGGCAAACTCCAGTCAGGAGGTTGAATGATCGATAGCGAGATCAATAGCTCCTTCAACTTATTGAAGACTCTCTCACACTTGTCATCGAATTCGAAGGCCACGTCTTTTTGTAAAATCTGGAATAACGGGCTCCAATTTTCAAAAAATCTTTAATGAACTTTCAATAAAAGCCTGCATGTCTAAGAAAAGAGCGCACCTCCCGCACACTCACGGGGTAAGATAAATCAGATATAATGTCTATTTTAGCCCTGCCAACCTCAATACCTTTAAAAGACACAACATGACCTAAGATTATCCCATGTTCAATCATAAAATGACATTTTTTCCAATTAAACACAAAATTGGTCTATATACACCTCAACAAGATCAATTTTAGGTTATTTAGGCATATATCAAAACTATCACCATACACACTGAAATCGTCCATGAAAACTTCAATAATTTTTTTCACATATTCAGAAAATATGCTTACCATTCTTCTCTGGACTATTGCAGGTACATTGCACAACCCAAATGGCATCAGTCTATATGGGAAGGTCTTGAACGGGCACGTGAAAGTCGTATTCTCTTGATCCTCTGGTGTGATTGCTATCTGAAAATATCCAAAAAATTCATCCAAAAAAAAAATAGTAAACCTTACAAGCTAAACGTTCAACTTTTTGATCAATGAAAGGGAGAGAAAAATGGTCATTTTTCATGACGGCGTTTAATCTGGAGTAGTTAATACACTGCCTCCACCTAGTGGGTTTGCGCATTGGCACGAGATCACCCGTTTGGTTGGTCTCTACTGTCACTCCTGCCTTCTTTGGAACGACCTGGACCGGACTCACCCATGGTCTATCCGATATTGTGAATCCCCACATCTAGCAACTTCAAAATTTCTTTTTTTACCACTTCCATCATGAGGGGATTGAGCCGCCTTTGGCCTTGCCGTACAGGTTTGGCATCCTCCTCAAGTCTTATTCTGTGCATATAGATGGAAGGGATGATCCCCTTAATGTCGGCGATGGTTCACCTTATTGCCTCCTTATGCTCTCTAAGAACCCGGATTAACTTCTCCTCCTAGGTTTTCGAGAGTGCAGTTGAGATAATCACCGGGAGTGTTTCGTTGTCGCCCAAATACGCATATTTCAAGTGCTTTGGCAGGAGTTTCAATTCCAACACAGGTGCCTGCACCACAGATGATAGTACCCTTTGGTGAGGTTTAGGAATGAAAATAAGCGAAACTTCATACCTTTTCGTTGTGATTGGCAATGAGTGTAATGCCCCTATTGTGCATTTCAAATCTTCACTCCACTCCACATCAGGAGTTGTCTCCAACTCGAGGTGCTTTGTTAAAACAACCTCCAACTCATCCCTGCCAAAAGTTTCAAACACTTCCTGCACCGCAGCGTCAATGGCACTCACAGAAAAAACAGAACTAAAGTTAGAATTTGAGGGATATTTTAGAGTATCAAAGATATTAAAATGAATAATTTTTTCATCAAATTTCATGGACAATCTACCCTTATTAACGTCAATTTTAGTCTATGCTGTACTCCAAAAAGGTCTACCTAATAGCAGAGGTGAGGGATCGGAAGAGTGATTATCATCCACGTCAAGTACATAAAAGTCATTTGGGAATACTAAATCATTAATTTTAACTAACACATCTTCGACCAATCCATCAGGATATGCATTAGTTCGGTCAGCTAATTGAATAATTATCCCAATTTCTTTTAATGGACTTAGGTTCAGAGAAGTATAGATAGATTTTGACATTACATTGATCGATGCTCCTAGGTCTAGCATAGCCTTCCTAATCAAAATGTTGCCTATCCTATAGGGAATAGTAAACATACCTGAGTCCCCACATTTCGGTGGGAGTTTCCTTTGGAGATCCGTTGATACATTCTCTCCCACAATGACTCTTCCGTCTCCTCTCAACCTCCTTCGGTTGACACACAGGTCCTTCAAAAACTTTGCGTATTTCGGCACTTGTTTGATTGCATCTAGCAGGGGAATATTAATCTTTACCTTACGGAACACCTCCAGGATCTCCTTCTCCTTGTACTACTTCCTCGATTTCTCTAGTCTGCTAGGAAATGGAGGCGGGTTAGTTTTGACCTCAACGATCGGGTCAGAGAGTATCACTGAATTTTTGCCATTGCTACCCTCCTTCTCAAGCTTGTTTTTTATCCTTTCCTCATCCTTGTCCTTAGGCATCATAGGTTTGGGTCATTGGACCTTTTTACCACTCCTCAAGGTCATTGCGCTTATATTTTTCGGATTCAACTCAGATTGAGATGGTAACTTCCCTTGAATTTGGGGCTCCAAACGGTTGATCGTAATGGCCATTTGATTCATTTGATTTTACATGGATTGCATCTGACTCATTTGATTTCTCATACTTTGCAGGTCTGAATCCGTCTTTTGTTGATTAACAAGTAATTGCTTCATCATCTCTTCCATGGATGAACTTGAGTTCGAAAGGGGTGATGGTGGGCGAGACTGATACTGCTATTGATGCCCTTACTGTCTATTTGATGCGAAATTGGGCTATCTATTTTCTCCATAGCTGAAGTTAGGGTGATCTCTCCAACTGAGATTATACGTATTCGAGTACGGGTCGTAAGGCTTTTTTGGTGTGGGCGCGTGACCAACTATGTTCACCTGCTCCGCACTTTCCTCTTGAATCAGTGGGTATATCTCCGTAGAATGACCCATGCCAGTGCAAATCTCACACACCTTGGCCTGAGATGCATTTCCTATAGCCAGTTGCCTAACAAATGATGTTAACTCAGTCAACTGCTGTTGGATAGAACATGTCTCTACCTCATTCACCTTGCATGCTGGGACATCTTCCCTCGTACCAAACTGTTGCGAATTCTCAGTCATTCTTTCAATTAGCTCCCACGCTTCTCGAGGAGTCATGTTCACCAGTGCCTCTCCACTTGCAGCATCAATTATGCTCCTATCTCTGAAAAGTGGCCCCTAATAAAAATATTGTATGAGTAATTGCTCACTTATTTGGTATTGGGGGCACTTGATGCACAACTTCTTGAATCGCTCCCAGTAATCATAAAGCGACTCTCTTGGGTGCTGCTTGATACCACAGATCTTCTTTTTTAGACTTGCAGCTCGAGACGTGAGAAAATACTTGTCTATGAACTTTTCTTCAGCTGGTCCCACGTGATGATACTACCTGGTGGTAGGTAGTACAGCCAGTTTTTAACAGAGTTCTTTAAGGAGAAGGGGAATGCCCTCATTTTTATCTACTCTTCTGTAATGTTCGGGGGATTCATGCTATTGTAAACTACATCAAACTCTTGCACATGCTTATACGGCTCTTCATCTGGTAAACTATGAAATGATGGCAAGAGATGAATTAGACCAGATTTTAATTCAAATGCAGTGTTATCACCTAAACTTGGGAAAGTAATGCATAAAGACTGCTTATTTAAATCAGGAACAGCCAACTCCCTTAATGTTCATGCATTTGCCATGGTGACTTTCTCTTGATCCGAATCACTTGAATTATCACCGCGCAAATTTGTTGACTCCACCTCTGGATTAAGTCCCTGAAGTGCAGCCCCGGATTGCTCCTCTTTGAGCTGTCTGGTCTCTTTTCGTATTTTTCGTGTTGTCTTCTCTACCTCAGAATCAAAAATCAATTCACCTGTACGAGAAAATCGAGACATACACTAGAAAAATACAGAAAATTGGAGCAAAAATGAACTTAAAAAGAAACAAATATTAACGTCAGTCCCCTGCAATGGCACCAAAAATTGACAAGTTGTTGATGCTTGTGCAATAATAAAAATAAGCCTAATTGTCGATTAAAATAACCAAAACCCGATTCCAAGTACTGGAGTAGGGACTCTAGGTGTGCAATAGGTTACTTGATTCACCCTATTCCCGAAGAGTTTGCTTGATCTGATATACCCGAATGGGATGATTTTTTTACAAATAATTATTAATTTGTAAACAGGGCAAGTAGGGTCATATTCTCAGGAACTGAGAATATTTGTCTCTTTTTTGGTGTTCAAAGTAACAATGGGGGATTTTTTTATAGCAATGACAATAAGTAAATGGTTCGAATAAAAATAAATAACCAACAAAAGATTAAATGACAAGTTACTAAAATCAAAGTAATAATAATTAAAAGTCTAGCCAAGAAATAACTTCAGCAATGGTTCAGCTAATTGATCATCGATACAAAGGCAATTCCAATTATTTATTAAATAAGTTATAACTGCCAAACAAGCGATGACAGTCAACCCCTCCTTACTGTGTCGGTGAATAAGGTACGTCCGTTAATCACTGCTCTAATTGAGAAATAATCTTAGGTACACCCGTAAGATTTAATTCTCCAATTATCTTATGTATTAGAGGAGCCCTATTCTAACCAAATAACGCACTACCAGGGTTATTTCAGATTAGCCCGCGTATCCCATTGACACCAAATAACGCACTATTAGGGTTATTTCAGATTAGTCCGCGTATCCCACTGACACAAATCTAATCATGCCAGTTGTCATTAATTCAAGACAATTAAACAATTACAGATTTAATGCCCTAATTGACAATAGATTATCAAGTTAACTAATTATCCGGATTCAAGACAATCAATTAATTAAATAATCATAAATACTGGAATCAAGGGATATGCGAATATCAATAAATAAAAGAAAAAGATAAAATTAAATCGATCTCACAATTTTTAGGCGAACCAAAACCTCCATTGTTTCTTGACTAGAGTAAAGGAATTAGTTCATATTTGATGCGAAAAACCCACACACAATTGAAGAGAAAGCGACGGCCATCAGTTGGGTAAATTCAATTCGTTGGAATACTGACGAAAAAGTAAAGCTACAGGAAGTGGTTCATTGTTTTGTTTGGTCTTGACATCCAAAAGAAGAAAAGCCACTAAGAGACCAAAAGAAAAGTCAAAGTCTCAAAACTAAAACTAGTCTACTCCTGATATGCGAGAGGAAGAACTACTAAGAGTCCACTAGAGGACGAAGACGAAATAATCCGATAAGCTCCTCCCAAGCTTTGTTTCCATTGTCTGCTTTATCCCTCTCCAATTGCTACTGTGCGGCGGATTTTTCTCCTTTTTCAGAACCGAAGACTCCAGCCTTTTTTCCCTTGTTGTTTTCGGCCAAATTACCAAAAAAGGGCTTGCGTTTTTTTGTTCCAAAAATGCCATTGAAACCCTTCTATTTGAATTCTTTCCTGATGACTGTCAAATTGGCATTGGTTGTGGTATTTTCGTTCTACTCGAAATAAATGCAAATTGCAAAAAATGAGTAGAATCTAATAATTAATCTATATCGGGTCAGGTAATAGAGGAAATTAATATAAAATAAATGATAAAATTGCAACCTATCGGTTGACATATTTAGATGAAAACTCTCGGTTATTAAGCACTTACAACCATAGAAGTAGATGCTTATTAGCACAATAATCATACAATTTCCTTCCTTTTTTTTGTGAAAGCAAAAAATACATAACTCATTCCTTCCAAAAACTACAGCTAAGGGGAAAAATCACAAGAAAAGCCTCATATTTGTCAGTCACACCAATCACACAACTTACATAAATAAACCAAGAATAATACACTTCACGAACTTGAAGAAAGTTTAGCATAATAAACTCCATTCGTATGATATTAAGTTTTTCAAAATCAAAACTTGTGGCATACACAATAACAATCTCAAATTACCTTGCACAAAAGCTCATGCCAACAAGCATGAAAGTATCAATTCAAATTCAAAACTCCTTCCCCTACAATTAAATTTCATATTATACTCAACAAAAAAGGTGACAAAAACAATTAGAAAGGATAGTCTAGCACTTTTGATATGAATCGGCTAAAACATAATCACGCAACTCTATTGGCACTAAATGTTTAGAAAAATTTCAACAGTGCCTTTCCTTGCATTTTCAATATATGCTCCCTACTAGCAATCCCAAGTTCAACAATTCAAACATACCAATATCACCAATAGACAAGGTTTCTAGAAAATAATCAGTTTCCACAAAAAATCCACCAAGAAATATATTCAACTTCAATCATTCACCCATCACACATAAATTATACAATGTTACCAATGTGAAAAGATAAAAGGAAAGAAAAGAATATTCCCCAAGTGTAGTAAGTGATTTATTGTGGTTATGTGCCATTTGTTTTTTCAAAGTCGCCATTGATAGTGCTTATTTTGCCTTTTTCTTCAAACCTACAAAACAGAAATAAACACACTTTAAAACACACCAAAAAGACATTAAATTTAACAACCATTAGGTTGCCTCTCAACAAGCGCTTGTTTATAGTTATTAGCTTGACTATATAACCTCTTTATCAAGAAAACTTTGTTAATAAGTAATACACCATCAAAGGGCATGGTGAATCAACAAAAGATGGCTCAATTGCATGCACCATATATCATAAAGATGAGAGAAATGAAAGTGGTTTACCCATCCCAATTATTTTAGAGATATTACTTTGCTTATACGTCACCTGAGAACTTACCAAAAGAGTTTTCGCAGGAATTGCTTGGGTGATAATATTTTTAGAATCTGTACTTTCAAAACACTAACGAAGAAGTGTTAACGATATGTCATTCATGCTTGTCTCTTGAGATTCATGATTAGTTCCAAAAATGTTATCATGTCAAATGGACAAATCCTCATTAAAGATCAAACAAGATGCATTATTATCACCAAAATGCAATCCACTTTCACATGTGACATCGGTAATATTCATTTTAGGTTTGTTTTTAGTATATCATCGGATGAAATAGCTTCCCATATGACATTCAAATATTATTGTATTCTACCAAAGCAGTTCATATAATTCACCCCATTTATCATTCATTTCATCATCAAATGTTCAATTCATCCATTTTATTTTCTCAAGAAAAAGGTTTGTTATCAAATTTTTCTAATGTTAATTCCCAAGATAGCTTAGATTCATGTTGGATACATTTAGGTTGGTAACCATCATAATAATATGAAGAATCACTATATGCATATTTGATTATTTCAACCATAATCATAAGAGTCACCCAATTAGAATTGCATTGATCAAAATTAGAATTAAAATGCAAAAAGTCATTATAGTAATCCATATTTTGTGCTTGCATACATTCATAAGTAGTATGATATCTTCTACACAAGTTACAAATTATAGGATTAGAATTATAAGTAATAACATTCCTATTTTTTTCAATCAAGTGCATCAAATTGTCCATTCTAGCATTTATCAAATTTGTAAGTATTGTTTCTACCATTCATATGCCATCTTCAAAAGACATGACTGTAACTCTTCCCTAATTACCACCATTATACATTATGCATTGAAAGGAATGTGGTTCCATGTCCCAATTTCTTTCTCTCAAGCCTTGTTCACCTAATTTAATTATCTTTCTTGAACTCTTAAATATGCTTTCAAAGTAATTTAAAACAAGTTTAGTCAATTAGAATAAGTGATAAAACAAATACAGAAAAACAAGAAACACAACAAGGACATGACAAACAACACAACAAACACAAACAAACTAGACATGAGAAACACGAGGAAAAAAAATAAAATGCATAAACTAATAAAGTTATTCTTAGCACCACTATTGAATCAAATCTTTCCTGGCAACAACGTAAAAAACTTGATGAGATTTTCCTTTACACCAAATTTTAAATACCTAAATACCCTATATTCTACAAGTATACAAATTGCTTATTTAGTATATGGAATATTAGCTATCGATCTCATAGGGAAGATTGTCAAGTACTGGTCATTTTTGAACTCCTGTATTATTTACACTACCACAATAAAATCAAGTAGATCTATACTTCAAATATATAATAAAGTAGCAAAAATAACAATAAAAAGTTCCTAGGGTCTGTAATCGCTTTGTTGTTTGGACATGAACTAATCAAGTTGAATATGATATTGTTTATTACTCGTTAGGGGTTAATTCCGAATTATGATGAACATTACTTTCGCCGATGAACAACTTACTCATATCTAATCCCACCTATTTTCATGCTTGAAGGATTAGGACAAGTTCTTGAAGATTTGTGAAATTATCTGTTTATCTCCCTAAATATATCACCTACTTTCATGGATCTGA